AATGCAGCGGATAGACAAAATCAGATTATTGAATGGTATGTACATGATGTTAAAAGAACGCTGGGAAGGCTGTTAGCACGATGAAAGGATTCGTTCGAAAGACCGTGCGGAATTCATGCGAGAAATGTCCAAGGTGGAGAAGAGTGGAGAAATTGCCAGCTTTTTGAATGCCGCAGAATGTGATCATGTAAATAGCAGCTGATCAGCGTGTGACTTCTTGGTATATAGTTTCCAAAACCTACGAAAAAAAAGAAAAATTTCCATGTAATTTAGTGAAGTGTTCCTGTATTGTGTTCGTTTTTTTATAGAAACAGATGGCAGGGACAACACGTTACATTTATTCATGAACACATGATAGGCTTGATGAATAAAAGTATCATATCGTTCCAAACGTCCCTGGAATTCATTATAATCTCATTGGCGACACGCACCGGGCTGGCTCGTGCAATCACGCGTTTTTGCAATATTTCGTGTCTTAATGAAATCGCTTGGGGTCCCAGCAGCTAGAAATGTCTAGAAAGTCAAGAAAGTTAATTCTCTACATGGTATTTGGACAGGGAACATTTCGTTGTAATGTCAATTTTCCCAATTTTCTTCTTGAGTTAGCAGTTTTCCTGCTAGAAATATTCATGAGGCCGCTTGTGACAACCACGTACGCCCGGTGGGCTGAGTTTGATGATTTTAGGTTGTACTTGTGCTGGCAATATTCCCTGAAAATTTCAGCTCCTCAGCTTTCCTGGTTCCCGAGTTAGCGATTTTCGCGTCAGGAACCCTCACGGGGCCATACGCGGGAACTACGCATGCCTGGGGGCTGAATTTGAAATCTTTGAGTTCTATGAAGACAGAGGACATAATCTCAAAATATCAGCTTTGTAGCCTTTCTGGTTCCCGAGTTAGCGATTTCCTTCCGAAACTTTCACCCCCTCCTACGCGGGGCTCAGACTTGCTTGAGGGTTGATACAGCGCTGTTGGATTGGCACTTGGTCGAAAAACTCACCGGCAGAATTTTGGCGCCGGGGCTTGCTTGGATGCCGAGTTCAAATATTCGGACAGACGCATACACACACACACATACACACACACACACACACACACACACCGGGGTCATCACATTATGGGTTTTTGCATTTGCATATAAGCAAAAACGCATAAAAAGAATTCTGACACATAGCG